GCCAACCCCTGACCTCGGCCGAGTGGTGCAGCGCAGGGGTCAGGTGCCTGCACTCTCAGGCCTCAGCCCCTGCAGCCCCTTGCTTCCCACCCCCCCCCCCCCCCGCCCTCCCCCAGAGACACCAACAGAGTTCATTTGGGGCCTACCTGTGCCAGAGCCTGCTGTTACGTGGAGACTTCAGTAGTTCCACAGAGATTTTGGAGCAGGAAATGAAGGTTAAGAGAGCAACTTGACAGACACCTTGGGCACCTAGTGTACGTAATATAAGGTTAGTGTCAAGATAGGCCAAAAAAAAAAAAAAAAGGCCAGAATAAGAGGCCTAGGGTGGGGGCATGGTGTGTGGGGGCGCCTCTCTGAAGGGATTTTAGGAGGATCTAGAGTTAGGATGGCAGAGATTTTCCTGGGTAAATCTTTCTGGGCTGAGGAGGAACTGCTTAGCTGAGGCTGGTGGGGGCAGAAATGACCCAAGACAGCAGCTTATTCCTCAGCCCTGAGAAGAAAGAAACCCAATATTTATTATTCCGCGTCCGCGGTCTGGCTTTCTGTCAGTGCAGGCTCATTTAACGCTGACAACTCCCTGCGACACATAAGGTATTATCCCCACCTCAGGACTGAGTAGAGGTGGCTCAGAGATAACAGGCCTCGGCCGGTGGGGCCAACCAGCCCCACTGTACCGTTGCTTCTAAAGGATTTTGATCCCAAACCGCTTTCCAAAATGCCCTAGGGATCTGAGGAGACTAAGACAGGGGGACTACTGTGACAAGGAAAACCCCTCACGTTCCCACAGGTCATTCCTGTGATCTTGGGGTGCGGGAGGGCCAGACCAGGAAGGACTGGGTGACATCACCTCTCTTTTGCAGCCTCCCACATCTCCACACAGGTTCAAGTGGCCAAGGCCTTGTGGAGGCAGCCACAGGGTGCTACCTGGAGCTCCCCAGCGGATGGAGCCTGGCACCTCAGCACCTCACCTCACCTCGGTCCACCGGCCCATTTCCTTCATCTGGGGCCCACCCGCACTCCAAAGGGAGCCACCTGTGTGGGGCGGGAAGAGGAGCAGACCTGATCCCCAGCTAAGCTCGGGGATTGCAGAGCAGATTAAGGGCATTCACTCATGAGGACGCCTACTTAACCCGGATACCCAAAGATCTGGGCTGCTCACCAACAGAGCCCGGGCTCGGCCCGCGGGTGCGGGGCGGGGCAGCGCTTCCTTCCTGGCGTGCAGACTTCCTGCCTCTTTATCAGCACCGCCGCCAGGGGGCGCGCCAGGGCCGGGGACAGAGAGGCTGTTTGGCAGAGGAGCGCGGCGCTTTTGTGTATCCCATTGACCTTTGTTGCTCCGCCTTGAGCGTACCCCGGGCGGGCTTCCAACGTTTTCAGGACGCTGCCTCTACTCTGGGCAATTTAAGAAACTGTTCAATGAATTCTCCTGCTCCTGGCTGCAGGTTACCCTCCCTGGCTGTCCAGCCTCCTAGCGGCTGCCAAGACCACCCCCTTAAAACTGTCTAGCGGTTCCCGTCGACGTTAGGAGAAAGTTGAAAGCCCCTCGCTGCAGGTCAGAGAAGGCAGAACCCCAAAGTTCAGCGGCCGGTGCGCTTCCCGCGCGAGCTTCATTGTCACAGGCCTGGGGGACAGCCGCAGGCGGTTTTTACTCTCCCCCATGCTCCCGAGCTGGTCGGGGCGCCAGGCTCCTAGCCCTAGCAGGCTTCTAGCATGTTCCAAGCAAAAAACCCCGAATCTCCCAGCGAGGGATCAGAGATTTCCTCTCTCCACCCGGCGACAGACCGGTAGCCCCCTGCGGGCGGGCGGGGGCCTGTCGGGGTGTTCTTTGTCTCCCCAGGGCCTCCGCAGGGGGCGCGGCCGGGCGGCGCTGAATACACTGAGGCCGGCTGCTGCGCCCCGGGAGCGCACATCAAAAGGAACCTGCGGGCAGCTGGGGAGGCGGGGGTGGATGGGGGTGTGCCCTCAGTCGACCGCTCCGAACACCCCGATATTCACACACACGACACAAAGTGCTCGCGGCGCGCCACCCCCCACGCCCGCCCCGAGCCCCCGGCCGTCCGCTCCTTCTTTGCCTTCCTTGGCGAGACCTGCCTTTCAGGGCCGAGGCCTCAGGGTGCACCGCCGGGGGCGAGTGGGGGGGCGCCCCTCACCCACCCTCGCTGACCTTGGGGTGAGTTAACTCTTTCCCCACCGAGCGCGCAGCCCACTCTGGGGTTGGGCTGCCCCGTGGAGCAAAGGTGCTTCCGCTGGTGACACGTGGCACGGGGGCTGCCTCCCCCTCCCGGGCAGGGGCCATTCCTGTGTACCCACCGGCAGCGCAGGGCGGGTAGGAGGAAGGAAATTAAGCCTGTGTTGAAGGAAGGACACCTGGCAGGGGAGGGGAAAGGGCTCAGGAATCCCCTCCTCTGGGGGAGCTTTCAAGTGGAGGGAAATCCCCACACATGCTTCCCTGCGCCAGGGCGCCGCGCGGGGCCACTAGCTGGTTCCCACACCCCCTTCCAGGCTTCTCCTTTACTTCCCCAGGCTGGTGCATCCACAAAAGCCCCGGGTTCCACCCTCCCACCAGCTTGTTTTCTGGCCTCTGTTCCATTCCCTGCCCTGCACCCATGACCTGGGTGCCCGGGAGGCTTTGGGATAGGCAGAATCCTTGGGGAGCAGCCAGGCTTGTTTACACTGCCCAGAGCCCTTGGCTGGGCTGGGCTCAGACACCCCCACCCCACCAGCAGCCTAGGGGATCTTTCAGTCCCAACTCCCAGGGTTGGCACCTGTGGAATCTTGGGACCTAGAAATGACCCCAAGCGGTCATGGAGCCCAGCGCCTACCTCCCAGCCACACTGAATCCACAGAATCCTGTCTTGATGGCCAGGGGACGTCTCAGAAACATGATTATGGGGCTCTGGAGCCCCTCAAACTCTTGGGCAGAATTTGAGCTCCAGCAGGCACCTCTGATCAGAAAACCAGCTGAGAAACCCCCCCTACCCCCCCACACCACGCTTGGGTAGGACAGACCTGGGGCAGGAACTGAGGGGGCGGGCCGGGGCTCTCTACCCCTAGGGCCTGGGCTCCTGCAATCAGGGACAACGGCAAATTTACCGTGACGCCCTTTTCAGGTGAATCAAAAATAAGGCACCCCAAATCTGCCCACCCTGGAGACGTCTGTGAAGGTCCCATCTCTGCCCCCTCCAGCCCGTCCACAGCCCAGGGAAGGTCGGGTCTTTCCTCCCCTCGCCCAGCCTTCCCCTCCAGAGCCTCCACCTCCCCCTCCCTCGCAGACCCGCCGCTGGGCTCCCCTCCCTCCACCCGGTCTCTGTCTCTCTCAGTCTCCCCGTCTCTGTCCCCCCTCTCCTCCCGCCGCATCTCCCTTTTGTCCCCTGCCCACCCTCCTCTCTCTCACCCCCCTCCGCTCGAGCACCGGGCTAGGAATGAGGCAGAAGCAGTGACAAGCCCAGGCGGCTCCCCCGACCCTTGGTGCCCCCGGGCCAGTTCCCCGAGCGCCCCGCGCCCTCCGCAGCCGTGTGAGGAGAGGGCTCTCGGGCGGGCAGGGGCACCGGGTTTGAGCCTTGGGCACAGCCCGTCCAGATCAAAGGCCAGGAATGTCTGGTGCCCTGGCAGCGGGCTCCCTTGGGCGGTGCCCCCACCTCTCTGAGAGCCGCTCCCCCCATCCCGTTGGGATTTGGGATCAGCTCAGCCCCGGCCCCTTCCACAGAGGTTCCCGGGGGGTGCAGCCGCCCCCAGACCAGTTGTCCCCACAAGGAGCTTTGCTCTCTTCACCCCAGAGTCAGGGTGCCTCTGGGGGTCTCCAGTGTGCAGGAGGGGTCCACCTCACGGGGAATAAGCTCCTTCCATTTGGCCTCAATCTCAGCCTCGCTCAGGACGAGGCTGCTTCTTGGAGGGAGAGGCCAGGCAGCACCCCAGGGTGCGTGAGGGGGGTGGGGGCTGGAAGGACTTTCTCCCCGTGGTGAGGGGCGGAATCCTAGAATGTGTCTGGTGTCCACGCGGAGGAAGAGGATGTGATCCCCAAACCCCAGTGGAGCCCAGAACCCCAGGAGAGGGGCAGGGCGGCGAGAAGGGCCCTGAAGGGCAGGGGTGTCCCCAGAAGAGCCCAGGGCTCCACGCCGGGGCCGCGGCCTTTCGCGGTCCCCACACGCCATCCCCGAGACTCCAGCGGGGCCGCAGGTCGTGCTGCCCGCGGGGCTGGAGGCCCCACCTGGACCCCGGCGGAGAGAGCGCCCGGCTCCGCGCGCAGGAAATGCAACCGGCCGCGGGTGTCAGTTGCAGGAAATGCAAAGGCAGCAGGAGGTCCCGATACCGATCTGATCCCTGACAAAAGACTCAAATGACATTCGGCGCTGTCCCCCCGGCGCCGCCCGCAGCCAGACGTTCGAGCCTCGGCGGACCCTTCCGCGCGCTCCTCGGGCGCGGGGGCAGCGACCTCCCGCGGCGGGGCCCGGCCGGCCGGCTCGAGGGCCCGGGGGCGGGCGGCTCCGGGGGCGCGCGCTTCCCAACCCCCTCCGAGACCCTCGGCCCCTGCCCTGCCCGAGCCGGGCTTCTGGAAACACCCCCGAGCTGTCTACTCTCGACCCTTCGCGGGTCCGGGTCCTCGGGGGTCGCGGTGCCGGCAAGCAGGGAGCCCCCGCCGCGGCCCGGCCGGCGGCCGCCACGTGAGCGCGGGGTGGGACCCCCGGCTGCCCAGACCCGTCGGGCCGGGGGCCGCGGCCGTCTCGGGCCAGCGAAGGGTCCGGCGCGCCCCGCGCCCCCGCCCGCGCCGCCCCCGCCCCAAGTCGCCACCGTGGCCGGGCGCGGGCTTTGCCCAAGTTTGCCGGGCGATGCCCTCCGCCGAGCCCGGGCCGCGGGCCGCGCGGGGGGCCGTGATTGACAGCCGGGCCCCGACGCATCTCTCACCTTAGGCCGCGGCCGCTGATTGGCTGCTCGCTGACATCCCCGCGCCCGGCTCTCCGCGCCGGCTCGCGAGGGGGGCGGCCGCGGGTGGAGGTGCGCTTCTGACAAGCCCGAAAGTCATTTCCAATCTCAAGTGGACTTTGTTCCAACTATTGGGGGCGTCGCTCCCCCTCTTCATGATCGCGGGCAAACTTCCTCCTCGGCGCCGCTTCTAATGGAGCCCCACCTGCTCGGGCTGCTCCTCGGCCTCCTGCTCTCTGGCACCAGGGTCCTCGCCGGCTACCCAATTTGGTGGTAAGACTCGCCCCTTGTCTGCCCGCGGCCGGATTTCTCCGCCGAGTCCCGGGGAGGTGTGGGGGGCGGGGGCCGGGGTGGGGGGCGCCGGCCGGGGCGGGGGGGGGGGCTGCGGCAGGCCCGGGGCTCCTTTCTCCTTGCCTCGTTCCGGCAGCCCCCCCACCCCGCCCACCCCCCACCCCCACCCCCGGGTTTTCTGCTGGTGTCGCCTTCAGAATCCAACTCCTGGCTTCCCTGATAATCACCATTTTCCCTGCTAGTCGCTGCAGAGGCTGGAGCACTTTCCCGGCTCACACGGTCTCTCGTCTTAGCTCCTAACCCCCCACCCGTCCCAATCCGGGCCCCCCTCCAAGGGCCTCCATTTGCTGGCAGTTGTGTGTCTGGAAACCCAGCGCTGTCCCCGGGGCCCGGCCTCTCCTCTTCTCCATTTTGGGGTCTTCATGGGCAAAAGCGTCCTGTTCCTTCCCTGCCACCCCCACCTCCGCGCCGCCTCCATCCGATTTCCCCCACAATAGCCCCCTTTGCCTTCGTGTTTCAGACCCCAGTGGCTTCAGGGATCCCCAGGGCAGGGGAGTGTGTGTGGGGGGGGTCATCAGATTCTCCCCACTCTGCTCTAGATTCATCTGGAGCCACAGAAGTGAATATGGAATTTGCTGATCTGAGATGCCATTGAATTCGGGTTTTATTCATCTCTTGCGTGTCCATCCCGGCAAAAAGGGGGGGGGTCCTTGAAAATGTAGTTGTTGGGGAGGGAGCGGGTTCGTTCTTTGACCAAAAATCCAATTCTCCATGTCAAATTCGTTCCTGTTGGAAAACCAGGGACCGAGGAGAAAGGGAGAGGGAGGATTCCGGCCGGAGAAATGCGGATACAAAAGACATTTTTAGTAAATAAGGCTCGGACGGCAGGCTCGGTGTTGGGGGGGTGCCTGTATGGGGGGACTGACCGAGGGGCGAACAGGCCTTTGGAAGCCCCGGTTCCGGGGAGTCCCTTGTTTTCCAGGCGGCCCCTTCGCCCCCTGGCAGGTCCCGGAGGCCAGAGGGGAAAGACACACTGAAACCAGTTCTCTAAATTACACCCCGCCTCGCCTCAGTCTCCAACCCCCTGCATTCCGGAAAACTTTAATTAAAGAATCTTCCCCTCCTGGACGGAGGAGAGCTTCCACCTGGGGGGTGGGAGGTGAGGAGGAAGAATTTGGGATCTCCAGTGAGAAAAGGGCTGCGGCCCCCTGGGGAGGAGAGTGGCCGGGGTGCCTGCCACCTGCCGGCACCCCTTCCCAGCCTGGGGGAGGGGAGGCAGAGCCAGTGAGATTCGGGGGCCACACCCCGAGTCTGCCTCTGTGGCAGCGTTCGCCTCTGGGTGTTCGGGGGCCGTGCTGGGGGCAGGAAGGGGGGCCTGGTCCAGGGCCTCTGTTTAGCTGCCTCCGAGAGTTGCTCCCGGGACTGACACCCACGGGGAGGGCTTTCTTCTGCCCAGTGCATCCTTCCATGGCAGTGGCTGACCCTGTACATAAAGAAGCCCATGGGGTGACATGAGGAAGCCCGGGTTCCCGGTTGGGGGCTCTGCTGCGTGTGTGTGTGTGGGGGGGTTGAGGGGGGGAGCGGAGGCCGCTGGAAAGTAGTCCTGTCTCACTGGCCTTTCCCAGCCCTCTCCTCTCCGGGCCAAGGCCCTGCGTGCTTTGCTGGAACAGGGACCCTTGCAGGGGGAGGGGAGAAAAAGAAGACTTGGAACCCCACAGATTTCAGGGAGCAAGGAAGACAGCTGGGGCTCCCCTCCCCTGTGAACTGGAGGAAGGCACTTTCCGGGGCCATAGGGGGGTCTGGTTTGTAATGGTGAACTGGGAAGCATCTAGCTAGGGGCCACCCAATAGCAGAAGGCGTTGGAAAAACCTGGAAAGCAGGACATTGGCCCTAACATAATGCTGGACACATGGTTTGTTTGGGGACTGGGGCGGGCGGGGGGACAGGGTTGCTGCTTTGTCTGAGCAGAGAAATGAGTGTGTGTGTGTGTTTCCTATTTCTGTGATCCTCAGGGTGTCATCTCTGGACTAGTGTGTAGGGTAGTCTGCCTGGGCTGACTGGATGTGAACTTGTGCAAAAGGTGTCTGGGGGACCCATGGCTGGTGATGGGGTGCTGAGTCTGCCTACAAGTGCCAGGAAGTCACTGAGTCTATGATGTGTGTCTATACATGTGAGAGACAGAAAGTCTAGAAGCATCTCTGCCCATGTAAAGGTCACTACCTGTGTCTGCTGTGACACTGCCCGACGACGCTCGTGACCGGGCATGTGAAGGTTGTGTGTGCAAGTGTGCGTGCGTGTGCATGTATGCCTTCATGACAGCGTAAGGGGAAAGCCCCACAGATGTCTTTGTGCATGGGTCTCCGTGTTCATGGCTGTGACCTGATTGTGAGTGTGAGGGTGGGGCTGGGTTTGGGACTGTCCTCCAGGGCCAGTGACCATGGTTGGGACTTTGCTATGGATATATATTTTTTTAGGATTTATTTAATTTATTTATGCATATAAGAGGTGGGGTGCAGGCTAGCGGTATGGGCTGGGGTCGGGGTGGGGTGAGAGGATTCACCAGAGACAAAGTGGGGAGAAGAACAGGCAGATCTACTGAAATACACTGCTGAGGGGAGCAGCCGGTGAGACAAGAGAGGTCTGCTGCGCCATGTGAGTCAGCTCCCTGGCCGGGGATCGAACTGGTGCTGCAGTGGCTGCCAACAGCTTCATAGTCCTGACTGAACCCCTTGCGCCACCAGGGAGGCCCCTGGCTATAGATATATTTGAGACATCTGAGCTGTGGGTGTGGATGACATCCTGAGCTTGGGTGCTTGGTGGGAACCCAGGGTCCTAGAGGGACAGTTCAGCCAGAGACAAAGGTCCAAAGAGGAAGCTGCCAGGGGCTCATTTGCCCTGGGATCCCGGGCTGGGCGGTATGGGGGTGGGTACGGAGCCTGCCTTGGCACAAGCTCCTCCTGACTGCCCAAGGACTGTGGTCAATGGCCCTCTGCCTTTGGCCGTTTGTCTTTGGTCTTAGAACTGGTGTGGAGGGTGAGTCACCTCTGGGCTGCAGTTCTGCTGGGGCTGGGACAGGGACAGTGAGTGAATGGGCCTCAGCTTCCTGTTCTGACTCTGCCGCACCCCCACCACCCCCCCCCCCCCCCCCCCCCCCCCGCCAGTCAGATTCCAGTCCTTTTAGTGTCTGAGCCCCTCCAGGCCTGCCCTCTTTGGCCCACCCAGCTCACACATTCCCCAGGAGGGATTTACAGGAGAAATCATTTAGCTGGGATTTCTGTCCTTGCCACCCCTCAAGGAAGACACTCCCCCACCCCGGCAGCCTGATTTGCTGAGCCCCACCACCCCCCATCCTGGGAGAAGGTAGACCAGAAGGTCGAGCTATCAGGACCTCAGACGCAACAAGCTCATGGAAGGGGTGATGCTTTCTGAGGCCTCCCGGCCAGGTCGTGCAGACCTGAGACAGGAAGCAGTGACAACAGCCCTGATTTCTATAATTTTTCTTGTCAGTCCCTGTTAGCGCCTGGTGGAGGAACTTGTCTTTCTTCTCCTTCTTGGGGGGAAAAAATGAACCTATCTTATTAGGGCCCGGCCTGGTGCCTGCTGCATTCCAGGGCAGAGGCCCTGCTGGATGGGGCCTGTGTGGGCTGTCCCCCGCTCTGTATGGCCAGCCCCGGGCTGTTTCCTCCCCTTCACTCACAGGTCACCCGCCTGCCCTGCCTCGCAGCCTGGGTGAAAGTGCTCTGTGGAAGTCAAGGGCAGTGAGCTGGGAAATAAGACACCTGAGTTCTCTCTCCACCATCCTGGGACTCATTCCTCAGCTCAAGGGCCTGCCTTGAGCCCTGCCTCAGTTTCCCCATCTGTCAGATGTCCTGCTACCTCCCCCACCCACTCCCACCTCCACCCGCCTTTGAGAGGCTTGTGAACATGTTCAGTCAAACCCCGTGGGGGTCAGTGGGCTGGGCCCAGGGAGGCACCTGGAGACTGCGGGGGAGGAAGGCCCCAGGCCAGGTGTTAACACTTGTAACAGGCAGGAATTACAGCTGGCTGGGGCTGGGGCTGCTGAGGAGCTGAGCTGGCTGGAGGCTGTTGATCCCACAGACAGACAGACAGACAGACAGATGGGCAGATACCAGATCGGATGGCCAGGCTTTAAGCGGGTGGTCTCTCTTCCAGGGCAGGCCTTTCCCTGGGGGGATGTGGCAGAGAAATTAATCCAGGTCTCTTGAAGGGAGTTCACAGCACTCCCGCAGGCCGGACCCCCCATTGCTGTCCATAGGGGCCAAAATGGGTGACTGATCAGTTTGTATTCTGAGTGGATGACATTTTGCTTAAAAAATAAAAAAAGTCAAAAATACAGGAGCCTGGAGCTGAGTTGTTCTTGGAAGAACCTGCTTTGCTATGTGGGGGCAAGTCTCGGGGAAGAGACAGCGTCATTGAAAGTTCTCCCAGAATCTCAGAGCATTTTATACACGGGTCTGGGACCAAGAGGTGGAGTCTGGATCCTAAGCACCCTCCGGCCCCCAGGACTGGGAGGACCTTGGGGGAGGAAGTCAAAGAGGCAGGAGCTGGGCCCAGGTGCCAAGTCCTTCAGTGGTCACACTCCGTCCTCCTTCCTGCAGCTTTCCCAGTGGCAAACCCAGCCAGACCCCACCAGCACTCACACTCTCTGACATCCCGGTACATGCTCAATTACTACTGAAGGTGGAGAAACTGAGGCAGCAGAGAGGGCTCCTGGTGGAAAACCCAAATAGTCTTAACTGGCACCTGTCCTGTGTATGCCACTCAGGCCACTGACCTGGGGTGGTTCCGGGGCAGATACAGGGGGGCAGTGGGATACAGTCTAGGGGTGGGGAAGGATCCGTGACCTTGGGGATTTCTCAACACTTTGAGTAGGTCTCCTTGGCCTGTACGGGAGGCCGGGAGCCCAGAGTGTGGGCAGAAGTGACTTTTCTCAGTAGAGGAAGCACCTTACACACCCTTCC